CGCTTTGGTAAAGCAATTTCTCATTCTATTTGTGCCTTTTGTTTCCTTGCTGACTGATGACATCCTTCATCTTTTCTTATGTTCTTTGGGAAAATATCTGTTTAGATCTATTATCAATTTTCCAAATTGAGCTATCTGCTATTTTATTAAGCATACATATTTTCAGCATGCGATAGGGATGATGATGATAGTGGTGGTGGTGACATGCCCAGCCTAAACATGAGAGTTCTAATTTATTATGAATAGCTGTGACCTCAGAGTCAAAGGTCACAAAAGTCAGAGGCTAGAAGAGGTTGTACAAATGAGTCTTGCCTCAGATGTTTAAGTGGATTATTGCTTGTAGCCACACTGGGCTAGCTAGGAGCAGAGCCAGGAAGGGAGGTGGTTGATGACTCAAAATAAAAAGGATGTCTCATGATATACTCAGTTGTTCACGGCTTACTGGCAAGGATACACCCTACGAAATGCATTTTAGACAAAGCTCTTATTGTGTGAACACCACAGAATCTGTGTACCATAGACAGTGTGTACAAAGTAAGTGGGATATGCCATTACTAGGCCTTTGTCCCCACTATGGTGTATGCTTTCCGATGTGGACCAAAGTGTGGTATTTTATTGACTAAACGCCTTCCTTAAAGAGGATACTTGTGATTTCTGTCTAATCGGGGCTCGTGCTGCCATGTTTGGAAGAGAAACTGAAGGACTTCATTTCACACTATGTTCAACAAGCAAGGATACTTCTTATTTAAATAGCTAAAATTGGCAGTTTTCTGACGACGCTTTTAGTCTGTCTACATAGAATCTTGTTTGAAAGATTTGTTTTTATGTGTCTGTGTATTTGTATGTACCCCATGTGAGTTCAGGTGCCCTCGGAGGCCAGAAGAGGGCACCAGATTCACTGGAACAGGAGTCACAGTTGATCTTGGACCATCTGGTGTGGGGGCTGAGCCCCAAATCCTGGTCCTCTCCAAGAGCAGCTAGTGTTCTTATCCACTAAATCTTCTCTTCACAGTTTCTTAAATGATTCCTAAGTTAACTATTTTCGTCAAAAAGGCTGTTTCATCCTGAAAGACCTCTGTGGAAGTTCTTTCTTTTAAATCTATCACACAGCCTTTAAGAACTTTCTAAGGAGACTCCATTTGATTTGTATTTGGTTTCCCAACAAAGCCATATGTGGCTTGAAATTGACTCTGTTATCCTGCTGAAGTTAAAGAATGCATTTCGTTTTGCATAATGAATGGAAGGCAAAGGTGAAGGGTGTGTCTCCTTGACCTTCAGCACATAGGATGGGGGGTAAAGAGCAGAAAAATAACGAACATGTGCACAAAAGATCAACATAAAGTTACCAGTGTTTAATAAGAAACAAATTCACAGGCTGCTTATGTTCTTTTGAGAAAGTGTTACTACATAGACCAGGCTGGTCCTGAACTCATAGAGATCCACTTGTCTCTGCCTCCTGAGTTCTGGGATTAAAGGTGTGTGTCACTGTGCCAAGCTCAACAGGCTGTGCTTGTTTGTGTGTTTGTTTTCGTGCTACTCGCTCCAGTGGTTGGCCCTGATAAATGCACAGACAACAAAGCCCATTGTCTTAGGCCATGTTGAGATTTTCCATTATTATATTAAGCAATACTCTTCCTGGTACCAAAAAAATTCTATGTTTTTCATACTGTGGTTGATTTTGATGATGAGGGAGAAAAATTATTCTTTAAGTTCAGATGATAAGGCTACTGTGGCAAACAGTGGAAAGCTTTGATTCCCACCCAAGCTTTACAATGGGGAATCATTAACACAGAGTACTCCACCCTTGAAAATGGAACATTTTGTAGATTTGCTATCAAAATGGGCAGCCCAGCTCTGTGCTACTGAAAGCCCCTGAGCAAGGCTGTGTCTGCTCTGAGTTTCACTAGTGATGCAGCAAGTGTCTGATGAGCAACAGGTGCTTACAAGTCAGGACCTGGACTTTTATTGCTTGGACACAGATATTCAACCTCTTCAAAGAAATGTTTTAATAACTAATAATATTTTCTAGGAGTATGATTTTTTTCCTTATTAATTTTCTGTTAAGCTATAGTTGTTGATTTTTTTGAAACAGGGTCTCATTGTGTGACCCACGCTGGACTTGAACTCACAATCCTCTGCTTCAGCCTTCCATGTACTGGGATTACAGACAGGTACCCTTATATCTGGTTCCTGCTAATCCTTATGTGAGCCTAATTTTCTTTTCACTGAACTCAGAAATATAGTATCCTGTAACATGAGGGCTGGCTCTTTGGGGTTTCTGCCCTGCCCAGTTCCTTACAGCCGGCAAGCCCCAAAGAAAATCACACAGAGTCTACATTAGGTTATAAACTGATTGGCCCATTAGCTCAGGCTACTTATTAGCTCTTGTAGCTTATATTAACCCATTATTCTGATCTATGTTAATCATGTGGCTCAGTACCTTTCACAGAGGGGCAGATCACATGTTGCTTCTTCAAAGTCTGGGCAGGAGTGGGGGGAATGGGCTTCCTCCTCTCCAGCATTCTCCCGTTCTCATCGCCCCACCTCTATTACTGTCTGGTTGACCCGCCTACACTTCCTGCCTTGCCAATCAGCATTTTATTAAAATACATAATTGACAGAATACAGACAATTCTCCTGCACTAGTATCCTTATACATTATTCCTTTTCTAAATATCTTTTTGAAAGTATTTTTTACTTTATGTATATGGGTGTTTTGTCTGCATGTACATCTGTGCATCGCACAGGTTTCAAAAGAGGGAGCCAGATCTCTGGGAACTGGAAACCCAGATGGTTGTGAGCTACCATGTAGAGGCTAAGAATCAAACCTGGGTCCTCTGCAAGAACAGCCAGTGCTCTTAACCACTGACCCATCCCTCTAATTCTTTCTCCTCTTCCAAAATAGCTATGTTATCTAGCTTCTTCATTCCAAACGAAGAATCTATGATGACAAACTTTGAAGTGAAATCTTATATTCCTCGCATTTCTCACCTTGACTTTCGAGTAACCCCATTTCCCTCCAGTGTCTCCAATCTCTCATTCAGCGGTGTGTGGGTCAGAGAGCAGTGCAAAGTGCAGAGAAGACACTGGCAGGCTTGTCCCTTAGGTGATGTCCTCAGTGACACTTCCTAGCTGGTGGGCATGTGCCTTGGAGCTACAGGCTCCCTTGACAGGGGCTGAGGCATTACCATTCTAAGCCACCCCAGGAAAAAAGGTTTATACAACTGGGAAACCTCAAGTCATGAAAATGGAGGTTTCTTCACACGGCCTCTCCTGCTAGGAAAACCTTATCAAATCTACCTAGACTGTATGTAGACGGTTGCAAGGAATGCCAGAATTTTCCGCAGGAAGCTGTGCTGGGTCTTTCCCGGCACAGAGACAATTGCTCAATTAAATCCCTAAAGTTCCGTGACACAAGAAAAAGCAGTAACAATTATGGCCTGGAATTTTTTTAGGGTAGCTGTTACCAACCGCTGGCTGTGACTTTAGGAAAATCTACTGTGGGGTCACCACATCAGGAAACCCAAAACGCTGAATAAAGTACAAAATTTGTTCTCACCCACGTGGGTTGACTTCTACGGTTTTTGTGTCAGAATTACTAGGTCTATATGAAGCAGTGGTTTTTATTTTTTTAAAAGTCATCAGTATTCTGCCAATTAATCTGTTACTAATTTGATACCAGTAACTCTTGTCAATTGAAATACCTTCTAAAATATTAATTTTACTACCAGCAACTTTTAGAAAATATAAGGTCCACCGAATATCTTCCTTTGACACTATATACCCAATAGAATGCTGTCTGACAGCAATTATGCTGGGGCATGTGCCCCATGGTGGGCGGTGAATCGGCCTCTTTCATGATGTGCTTCTGACCCTGTGCCCCTGCATGTTTGGTAGAGCATGGATGCTAAGGGGTAGCGAACCAAGGCCACACAGTTGGAAAGAAGGAAAGGGAGCTACCTATGCAATATAGAGCTTTAAAGAGTCCTGAGTTCTTGAGAAAGACCCATTTTCAATTAAAAATACTCGCTAAGATTGGAGATTGGTCTATCTCCAAGATTCCCTCTCTCTGTTCTTTCCTAGGGGTCACTATCCCTGGCCCCCAACCCTGCCTTTTACCTGTCATTACAGTGGTCAGGAAGAGGAAGAAAGAGAAGGGGGAAATGGAGGAGAGGATTAGAGGAAGAAGGAGGGGGAAGTGGGGGAGGGGTAGAGCAGGAAGAGGAAGAAGGGGGAAGGGGGAAATAGGAGGGATAGAGAAAGGAGGAAGGTCTAGGCCATTAGATGCTATTCTGAGGGCTGAGAGAAGCTCAACCTATACAGATCATAGTTCTAAGAGTCATGTGACTTGCAGCATCCATATGGGAGATTTCCAGTTCAGTTCACAGAAAGGGACAGAGAGACAGAGACGTCCAGGCTCACACGGTCCCCGGGCTGAATGTCATTACCCCATTGTGTAAAGATACACAGATCCTAACCCGCTTTCCCGTGCCCTATTTTATTGCTGCGCAGTGAACTGAAGTGGGCTTGTCAGGTGCCGTGAAGAGGGAATAACCCATTTTGCCAGACCACTCTACAAGGGTTGTGCAAGACACAGATTATGCAAGACGGGCCAAGTAGCTTCTAAAGCTGACTTGGAGTCTAAAATTAGTTTTGCAAATGAGGAAACAAGTTTAGAAAGAAAAATGACTCAATGGCTGGCCCCAAATATTGCTCAACTAATGAATGGATGGCACCCAGAAGCCACAGCCAGGCATGGTGGCTCAGGTTTTCAAGCCCAACATTTGAGAACTTGAGCTAAGAGTTTTGCCATGAATTCCAGGCCGGATTGAGCTACTTGGTGAGACCCTGTCTTCCGGAAACAAAACTTGCATCCAGTATCCAGTGGGTTGTTTTGGATCTGTGACTAAATTAAAGAAAAAAAATTTTAAAAAAGCAACTTTTTAGAAGATGTAATAAACCATTTACAAATAAGACATTTGCAAATTTTTGTTTTACAGAATATGGTTCAGGGTCAAAGTTAAAAGGCCCTGAACTGAGTTTAAAAGGCGCCCAGCACGTCATGAGAGCCGGCCAGACTCTTTTTCTCAAGTGCAGGTAGGTCACATGGACGGGGTAGTAATCTCACCATTCCCAGGACACTTGGGGGTGGGTAGTAATCTCACCATTCCCAGGACACTCGGGGGTGGGTAGTACTCTTGCCATTCCCAGGTCCTGTTAGTAATCTCGCTGTTCCCAGGTCATGTGGCCGAGGGGGGGGATAGTAATCTTGCTCTTGCCATGTCACATGGGTGGGGTAGTTAGTGATCTCGCCATTCCCAGATCAAACCCACTGACTCCCCGATTGAGAGGTCACCTCTCAGAGGAGAAGGAAGATGGACAGAGCGTGGGGGCTCCTGCATTAAGTGTCACATAGAGACTTTGTCCGATGGAGGGGAGAGCTTCATACACCCTGAGTGAGTAATTGTCACAAATATTGTCACATCTTTATCCTGACCATGGTCTCAAAGCCCCTCAGAATATGTGGCCTGTTCTTAGTGAAGCAGATGGACGCCCAGGGGGCCTCAGAGTAGGGCTCCCTGAGAACAGCAAACACCATAGACTCAGCACGGAGCCTGGCTTCAGCCTTGACTGTGCTTTACTTTGTCTGGCTGCAGAGGGGAGGCGGCCCACACGTGGTCTCTGCCTGCAACTGTGGGTATGGAGGAGAAACGGCTGAGCGTCACTAGGTCTACCTGTGGGAGGAACCACAGACAGTTCTGCAGCACCTTGACCTTGGACATGGCGCAGGCCAACCACACGGGCCTCTACACCTGCAGATACCTCCCCAAATCTGTGTCCAAGAAGAAGAAAATGGAATCTGCCATCTACATATTTGTCAGTGGTAAGACGGCGCCCTCCCGCGTTCTCTTTGCTTTTGCGAAGCAGTGGGTCCGAGGAGGTCTACCGTGACTGGGTGAGAACATGGTTTTTCCGAGCAGATGTGACACGAACAGGCCGTGGAGGGCTACCAGCCTAAATGCAGAAACCTGTGACTTATATCTTGGTGCAGTCTTGGTTCTCAGTTTCAACCAGAATTTCCAAGACTCAAGGAGCTCAATGTTCCCTGTGGGAAGAGACGCTCCGTCTATTTTAGTTGACTCCCACACCAGAACAGGCTCTGAGTGTAGTTAGCCTGAGAGATGGGATGAGAGTCCATATGTTAATCGTGGAGCTGCTCCGCCTGCGGTGCAAGGTGGGGGCCCTTTGACACAGTGCAGACTCTTAGAAGTTAGAATGATCAAATGTTTTGGGGGAGCTGGGGATAAAGACAGGTCATTGGCAAGTTTAAAGCCCTGGGTGCGCGCGCTCTCTCACACACACACACACACACACACACACACACACACACACAAGGGTCAGGGGGTATGTTTGAACAACCTTCTCTACTAAATTCATCATCGAGGGACTAGAGAGACAGTCAGCTGATAAGGGCACTTGCTGCTTTTGCAGAGGGCCCAGGTTCAATTCCCAGCACCCACATCACAGATCCCAGCTGTCTGTTACTACGGTTCTGCAAATCATTAAAAATAGTAATTTAATACATGCAGTGCTGCTGCTGTCTCTTGAGACACTCCATGTTTGCTGCAGTTGGCTGCAGGATATTAGCTCACTGGCATTGAGTGAGTATTAGTGCTAGAAGAGTAGACAGATTCTAGCGAGAGGTAGAAATGGATCTTTCGGTCATAGTCTTGCGGTACCGCCTTATGTTCAAGTGGAGTAATCTTCAAAGGGAGGGAATGTGAGACCCTCCCAAAGTAGACATCAGAGACATCAGAGATAGAAATGGATCCCCGGGGAAGACCAGGAAAACTGTTTTCTTCGTGCTTCTTGTTGCTCAGGTCTGCTGAAACCAGAAGCTCTTTGAGCTCTAAAGACCATAGCCTGAAATCAGTTTGCGCAACAGTCAGGAACTCTGGCTGTAAAAACAAAACAAAACAAACAAACAAGCAAACAAACAATCATCAGCTTCAATAAAATAATAAAATGCTCACTGGTTAGGAGCACCCCCTAACCCCCCGCCGCTCATTCAGAGGACCCAGGTTCAATTCCCAGAACCCACATGGCAGCTCACAACTGTCTGTAACTCGAGTCCCAGGGGATCTGACACTCTCACGCAGACCTGCATGCAGACAAAACACCAATGCACATACAATGCCCATTGTGAGTCTACCTCTTGGCAGGATAAATAGGGTTCTGGTGTTAGATTCCTGAGCAGAGCGTGTAATCGCCCAGACTCGGGACTGGTCTCAGGAGACAGTCATCAGCTGTTTGTATGCCCTTGACCTCTTTCCAGCTACCGTCATTGGAATTTTCTTTTCTGCACCGAGATTTTGAGCCCAGGACCTTGTGCATCTAGCCAAGCACGCTGTGGTTGAGCTATACCCACAGCCCTTTTGTATTTGGGGGACAGGCCCTCCATGAGTTGCCTATCTGGCCTTGAACTCATAGTGGTAGCCCAGACAGGCCTCAAAATGGTAACCCTCCTCTTCAGCCACTGAAGTGGCTGTGGTCACAGGAGTGAGTCGCACTGTGCTCAACTGTCAGCCCAATTTGGACGTAATCGCTTTTCTGTCCCTATTCCTCCAATTCTGTTTGTTCCTACAGTTTCCTTCTTCCAGGGTTAGCCTGCCTAGAGTTTGCCATGACAGGGAGGACACAGCCCACTTAAAACTGAGTAGCTGTGGCCACGAAACTGCAGGTGAGACCACCCTCTTCTCCTGGAGGGAAGAGAGAGTGGCAAACAGGAAATGGGGTAGATGGGAAAGGTGCAGATTGAACAGCTTTCCGAGAGCTGTACAGGCCAAGGGGAAGGCAGACGCAGCACCTGCTGGCTGGGCATACCACATTTTTTGCTTTCTTTTTCTGGCTCTATATAACATATCCTATGGCATATTTGTTCTTTTGGATACTTCAGACAGAAAGCGCTTTGCAGTAGGTCCTGGACTTCCTCTGTCTCTTTGAGGAAAGGGGAGGGGAAAAAAGGCATCCATCCGCATTACAGCACGTCCTTTCTTCTGTGGGGTTGGAATAGACCAGCTTGCAAGCAGATACTGAAACTAATAACGATAATAATAGTAGTAGTAATAGTAATAACACCACGTCTTAGCTCCTAATATAACAATATTCAGCTATTTCCCATTTAACTCCTATACCATTCGCTAGATGAGTTCACGGGATCAGCAATTCCAATGTATACCGTCCACTCCATTTCCCTTCCACCACTGGAGAGCAATTTCATTATTCACAATCACTCCTATTTCAACTATAACACAGCACATCCAGCAAAAAGCCATTACTCTGAATGGCAAACCACTGGTTAACACAAATGCTGGGTGGGTAATGGCCCAGAAGTGTCTTGGCTGCTTACATCTGCCGTGTGCCATCTTATATCTGACAGAGCCAGAGTCATTTGTTCTGTGAATAAATGAACTGCCTGACACCCACTGAACGGAAGGAATTCTGTGTTTAAAACTGATGCTGAGGATAAATCTCAGATTAGTGGGAAAATGTGCCAAAACTCATTACTGATATCTGTCATGGGATGGGTGGGGGAAGAGCCACTATGTCAAGGATTTATCCCCTTCTTTGTTATCTTTTTCTGGAAGTTGTCCTTAGTCAGTACCTTCTCAAAGCCAAAGTGGTGACCTACTAAACAACTGGAATTCTTCCGTTGCCAAAACTTTAATGTACTTTTTGTTTCCATCACTTTAATTCTCTTCTGAGATAGTCGGGGCGTCTTCCATTTTTTGTTGACCACTCCCACAGAGGTGAACCACACAAAGCTTGTCTCCCATAGTGCAGAGGTTGCCTCTGAGGTTAGTGAATTCTAACCCTCTCGCTACACGCTCACAGGCCACCCTTGCCTCTCACAGGAGACTCTCGGCTTCTAGTGAGCAGCCTAAAGAGGAGAAGCCTTGTACAGGTGTGCTTTTGAAAGGCAGCTGTGTAGCCCCAGGGGTTTAGAGAAAAAGTCTCAAGCATGGAGAGCTTTTCCTATTCACTGCCAAAAACAGCACACGACCTATGCGTGAACAAGTGTTTGGACACTGTCGAGTGCCCTCTCTTTCCCAGGCACAGCTAAGCTCCGAGGCGGTCAGAGCCTCCGGAACACCCATTGTCACCACTCCGTCACCACAGCTTGCGCCCAGCCACCAGGCCTTCCGCTAGAACACAGCATTCAGGTCATTTTTTATTCAAGGAATCTTCTTTAACTACTTTTGTTGACTTAATGAAGTTGGCGGGCACATTAAAATTTCCGCGAAAATAATTTCTTACATTTGTTAAAATTTCCTTTCTCATAAGCAAATGGTGGTGTTTCTAGAGTCATTCAGCCCCTCTCCTAACCCAGCTACTTCGCTGTTCTCTGAGGAAGGGAAGAAAGAGGAATTCCCTCTCACAGCACGCTTCGCAAAGCAGCTGGCCCCTGCAGTTGTGGGATAAAATGGGTAGTCTTGCCCTGAATGGTCTCAGCAGTGGGAGGAGATGGGATGGGGCCAGACTGAAGGAGGGAATCTGTGTCTGAGTAGTGTGTGCCCCACATCAGGAGAGACGGTGATAGAGAAGTCGAGAGCTGGATAAAGGACAGGGAAGAATAGTCAGAGACACTTCATTCTGTCAGGGTAGCTAGGCAGCCTGCTCTGGATCACAGCTGGACAGAGTCTCCCCTGGCAGATGACACGGATGTGAGGTCATCCCCTTGGATATGATCTGGACAAATGGCATTTGAATGTGTATCACTGATAAAATCGACTGCTCCAGAGAATGCAGCCATGAAATTTTGGCTCCTACAGAAATGAAGCATCGCAGTGCACGCTCTTGCTTGCTCCCCCCCACAAAGTATTTCCAGAGTCGGGCTCACACTCAGGCGGTCTGTGCGCGCGCTCTGCCTCCCGTGGGAAGGAGAGGATTCTGTTCGTGCTTCAGGGACCCTGGGGCAAGGGTTCGGCCATGGAACGGTCTTTTCTAGAAGTTGAAGGGTTGCATTAAAATTATCTCTATATGAGTTTTAAGTGGACAGAAAGGAATTGACCCACGGAGTTTTCACACGGGCATGGTTCAGAAGACTGAGATACAGAATCGTATAGCTTTGAAATTCAACTCACTGGTTACTTTGTAGGAACATGTTGTGCCAGTTTGTGGGCCTTTAATACAAGGCCCAGTTTCACCTTTACTATTCCTGGAATAGCTATGGTTCAGAAATGGTTTCTCTAAATGACGACCCCAAGTACTGCTCTGGGCCGGTCCTCCTGGAGAGACCTGTTGTGGAGTTTTGTTCCAGGTTGTCGTCTCTAGCTCCTGCCAGAGTTGTCACTTTGAGGCCTTGAGCAGCAGCAGCAGTGGATACTCATGGGTTGGGTAGTTTTTCATCTCACACGGCCATCTGAACACATCAGGGTGAGTCATATCTACCTCGAGACCTGAGGCCTCCATGCTGGAGCCCAAGGAGGGGTTTCTGAAAACAGCATTAGTGGAAGGCAGATTTGCATCTGGAGAACTCTACCTCAAAGGCGTCTTCGGTAGAGTTCCTAGGAATTTTCCCGTCTTTCTACCTACCGCTTCATCAAAAACTAGGGTCAAGTTTTGCTACTACGGTCATTTTCATCTTGACGAAATTATGAAAGAAGAGAAACAAGTACTTCTGTCATTTATAATAGGCATGGATGTGGTTTGGAATCCTAGATTTCTCCCTGAGGAGAACAGGACCTTCTATATCCTGACTGTGTGCTTCCTTTGGGGCTGGAGCATGAAGGAGATTATCCATCCTATTCATCACTCGGTGGTGCCTGATCAGGACCACATGGCCGGAGTCGAGAGTAGTAACTTAACTTGGCCATTTTCCTT